AGTGCTACGACGTGTCCGGATGCTGCATTCTCCGACCCTGGTCCCACCCACTCCGTCTGGGAAACCATCAAGGTATTACTGGCTTCCTTATCAGATTGTTTTGCTTTGAGGAGAAGGCACTGTTGATGTTTGAAATAATATCTCACACACAATTTTCTCACGCTCGCTTTCTCATGCTTGCTCGCCCTCCTGCCTCCTCCTCACGCTCCTATCCCCTCTTCTCTCCTCGTCCCTCTCTCCCCTCCCCTCTCCCCTCAGGATTTCTTCGACGCGGAGATCAAGCAGCTGGGCGTGCAGAACTCCTACTTTCCCATGTTCGTCTCTGAGAGGGCGCTCAACGCCGAGAAGGACCACGTCGAGGGCTTCGCCCCTGAGGTGAGGGACCGTAACTGTGACTGCAGTGGGCTTGTTTGTTGGGATTATAGCGAGAGGGACAATTTCAGCAAGAAGGCGTGCAAAGCTCCTACCTACTTCCCCATGATCCGTATCTGAGAGGGCCCTTAGTGCCGAGACGGACCATGTTGAGGGCTTCGCTCCTGAGGTGAGACTGTGGCTTCGAGTGTGATTATAGCGAGAGGGATACGTCTGATGTGCTTGTAGTAATGTGAGGAAGTGAAGTGCAGTGGTGGTGGTGGTCGTCGTCGTGGTGGTGGTGGTGATGTGCTTCATCTACGCCAAGGGGACCCATTCTCAATATTCTCATCCGTTTCCCCTCTCTCCTCCCGTTCCTTCTCTTTGCAGGGTGTTTTTGAGAATTCTCAAAAACACCCTGCAAAACCAAGGGGACCCATTCTCAACATTCTCATCCGTTTCCCCTCTCTTGAGGCGCCTCAAGAGTCGCCTCAAAAGTCGATTCAAAAGTCGGTTCCCCTCTCTCCTCCCGTTCCTTCTCTCAGGTGGCCTGGGTGACCAAGTCAGGCCAGTCGGAGCTGGATGTGCCCATCGCCATCCGCCCCACCAGCGAGACGGTGATGTACCCCATCTACGCCAAGTGGATCCACTCCCACCGCGACCTGCCGCTCAAGCTCAACCAGTGGAACAGCGTCGTGCGCTGGGAGTTCAAGCATCCCACGCCATTCATCAGGTGGGGTCGAGTGTGTGTGGGGGGTGCGAAGAGGAGAGGAAGGGGGGGAAGGAGAGGGGGGCTTGGGGGGGGAAGACGAGCGAGTGCACGCGTGTGGATGGGATGGGCACGAGTGAGGCAAGCTCAACCACTGGAACAGCGTCGTACGCTGGGAGTTCAAACTCCCTACTCCCTTCATCAACCCTCTCCCACAGGAGCCGCGAGTTCCTGTGGCAGGAGGGCTACACGGCCTTTGCTTCCTCCCTCAATCACACATCCTCCTTTCCCTCCCTCCTGCTCACATCCTCCCCCCCTCCCCCCCCTCTGGAGCAGGAGTCGCGAGTTCCTGTGGCAGGAGGGCCACACGGCCTTTGCGTCCAAGGAGGAGGCCGACGTGGAGGTGTTGGCCATTCTAGAACTGTACCGCCGCATCTATGAGGAGCTTCTAGCCGTGCCTGTGGTGAAGGGCGTCAAGAGCGAGCGCGAGAAGTTCGCAGGCGGGCTCTACACCACCACTGTGGAGGTAAGCAGTGGGATTCAGCCGTGGTATGGTGAGGTGGATCTGATTTGAGCTCTTAGAGGTGGTCGCCTGTAGCCACCCTGGCGCTGTACCGCCGCATCTATGAGGAGCTGCTTGCCGTGCCGGTGGTGAAGGGCGTCAAGAGCGAGTGGGAGAAGTTCGCAGGCGGGCTCTACATCACCACTGTGGAGGTCAGTGTTGTGGGGTGTGAACAGCTGGGTTGTAGCGCTTCTCTGGTGCATGTGAAGGGCACGTGGAGGTGGTGCACTGCTAGCCTGTGGCCATTCTGGAGCTGTAGCGCCGCATCTGCGAGGAGCTGCTTGCCGTGCCTGTTGTGAAGGGCGTCAAGAGCGAGAGGGGGAAGTTCGTAGGTGGGATCTACACCACCACAGTGGAGGTACGTATGAAGAGAGAGTGAGGGTGAAGCGTTGAGGAAGGGAGATCTGAATGGAGGGATAAGTGTGCGGGAGGGCAGCGCTGAATTTTTGGCGCCAAACACCGTCCTCCCGTCTCGCCCCTCTTTGCCCTTGTCTGCAGTGGAGTCATTTTTTAGAATTCTAAAAAATGACCCTGCCAGGCGCTCATCCCAGCAACCGGCAGGGGCATCCAATCGGCCATGTTGCACTGCCTAGGGCAGAACTTTGCCAGGGTGTTTGAGATCGAGTTTGAGGACGACAAGGGCGCCAACCATGCTGCTCCCTCCCTCCATTCCCTTCTCTCTCCGCCGTTTCCCCTTGTTTTCTGCCCTCCTGCCCTTTATCTGCAGGCGTTCATCCCAGCGACGGGCCGCGGCATCCAGTCGGCGACATCCCATTGCCTGGGGCAGAACTTCGCCAAGATGTTTGAGATCGAGTTTGAGGACGACAAGGGCGCCAAGCAGATGGTCTGGCAGAACAGCTGGGGGCTTTCCACGCGCTCAGTGAGTCACAGGGGAACGCCTGCTCAGATTGGAGTGATGCTGCACGGTGCTTGGTGCATGCATGGTGCATGCACGGTGCTTGGTGCATGCATGGTGCATGCATGGTGCATGCATGGTGCATGCATGGTGCATGCATGGTGCATTCAGGCAGCAAAGGCCCGGTGGTGTTCCCCTTGAACATGTTGTACCCCTCTTCCCCATCTTGTCTTTTTAGTTGACTCGTAAGTCATATGCATCCCTTCCAGTGTCCCACTTCCCCTCACCTCCCCCCACCCCCTCACCCTCAGACCGGAGTGATGGTGATAGTGCATTCAGACGACAAGGGTCTGGTTCCCCCTCCCTCCCAACGTGGCGCCCATCCCAGCCATAGTGGTGCCCATCCCCTTCAAGGACGCCCACAGCCCGGCCATGGTGGCAGCACCAGCTGCGTTGGAAGCCCCTATACCTCATTTTCGTGCTCCATTTTCTCCCCTTCGTCACTTCCCCCCCCGCGCATCCCCCCCCTTCCCCCTCACCCTCAGATCGGAGTGATGGTGATGGTGCATTCAGACGACAAGGGCCTCGTCTTACCCCCTAACGTGGCGCCCATCCAAGCCATAGTGGTGCCCATCCCCTTCAAGGATGCCGACCGGGCGGCCGTGGTGGCGGCAGCGGCTGACGTGGGCAGCCAGCTGCGGGCAGCGGGGGTCCGGGTGAAGGAGGATGCAAGGGATAACTACTCCCCGGGCTTTAAGTACAACTTCTGGGAGCTCAGGGGCGTTCCTATCCGTGTGGAGCTGGGCCCCAGGGACCTGGCCAACAAGCAGGTGAGTTGAGCACAGAACTTACCTCACTTCATCAGAGCTAGGGACAACTACTCCCCGGGCTTGAAGTACAACGTCTGGGAGCTGCAGGGTGTTCTCATCCGCGTGGAGGTGGGCTCCAGGGACCTCGCAAACAAGCAGGTGGGTGGGAGGTGGGTGGGTGTGCGGCGGGTGGGAGGAGATGGCAGAAGGTGCTCTTGTTGGTGCTCCCATGGTTCTCAGTGTGACTTGGCGGCTTTCCCCACAAACCCCAGAAGGTCACCCAGTGGGACGAGTTCCTGATCATGCCTGCAATCGATCGACGCAAAGATGATGGTGCTGAGGGGCTTGCACGCAGCATACGGATATGCTTGGGTCCTCCCTGTCCTCCCTTTCCTCCCCGTCCTCCCTATCCCACTCAGGTGGTGTTGGTGCGTCGCGACACCGGAGCGAAAGAATCCGCCCCGTGGGAGGGGCTGGGCGAGCGGGTAAAGGCCCTCTTGGCGACGATTCACGCGGACATGCTGGCGCGGGCCACCAAGGAGCGCGACGAGAGTATTGTGAAGATCACCAAGTGGGAGGAGTTTATGCCGGCCATCGACGAGCGGAAGATGGTGCTGGCGCCGTGGTGCGACGAGGAGGCGGTGGAGGAGGATGTGCGGAAGAGAAGCGCTGCTGGGGAGGGTGGGTCGGCGAAAACGCTGTGCATGCCATTCGAGCAGCCGGAGCTGCCGGAAGGTACGATCCTACTAGTGCAATGTGGCCCTAGAAGTATGCCGCGTGGATGCCATTGACTATGGAAATGTCATGCCGGCCATCGATGCGCGGAAGATGGTGCTGGCGCTTTGGTGTGATGAAGAGGCGGTGGAGGAGGATGTAAGGAAGAGGAGTGCCGCTGGAGAGGGCGATTCGGCCAAGACGCTCTGCATGCCATTTGAGCAGCCAGAGCTGTCCGAAGGTATGACCTTATAATGAAGGCTATTATAGAGAGGGGTGTTGGGTCATAGCACCCTTGTGCCTCCGATAGATGCTTGGAAGATGGTGCTGGCGCCGTGGTGCGACGAGGAGGCGGTGGAGGAGGATGTGTGGAAGAGAAGCGCTGCTGGGGAGGGCGGGTCGGCGGAAACGCTCTGCATGCCGTTTGAGTAGCCGGAGCTCCCTGAAGGTATGTGTGTGTGGGCATGGTATAATACCCAGGTATGGATGGTATGTCACAGCATGGCATGGCATGTCATGGCACAGCAATGCTGGTATGTGGAGCCGGTGTACGGCTCTGATATGAGTCATCACAGGAACCTGTAGGTATGGCCCCTTTTGGCTCATCAATTCATGATAACTCTCCCCCCCCCCCCCCCCCAACCCACCCCCCCGCTCTTCTCCCTCCCTCCTCTCCTCCTTGCCTGGCCCTTCCCTTTTCCTCCTGCCTTCACTGCCTTCAGGCACGCTCTGCTTCGCCTCGGGCAAGCCAGCCAAGAAGTGGGCTCTCTGGGGCCGCAGCTACTGAGGTTTCGCAATCCAGTGTTACACAGTAGTTTGCTGAGGTCCATCCAAAAAGCAGAAATTGTTCTGGCAAGAAATGGATGATGCTTTGTGGCACTATTTACTGAAAACCCCAAGGGCACCGTGGTACTTCTAGATTAGCTGAGGGTATCAATCAGATACTGCTCTAGCCTCTTGAGTAACCGCAAGTTGCAACAAAACCTGTTATCTGGGTAACCTGGCCCCCTCTGATATCTCACGCTGCATCTGGTGGTGGAGATTGCAGCGCATTCGGACCACAGCCTTACCCTCGAATCTGTAGGTGCCTAAAAAATAGACTCGCGCATTCAATCCACAGCCTTGTTGCCAATTTGCCGTGCAGACTGCTAAGCAAAGAAGTGCAGCACTGAAGGCCAGGCCCATGCTTTTGCATTCCTGGCACTTTTGAGTGGGTAAATGAACACAACCGTGCAGTGCAGTCAATCTGGAGTTGCAAGGGCAGGGGAGCAGAGGGGACGGAAATTGGGGAAGAGGGTGGGGGGGAGGGATGGGGTTTTGTGAAGGAACCAGACTGCCAGACTACCACTGCAGTTGCTGCTCCCTCAGAAGAGCCGTGAGGAAGCAGGAGAAGACGTAAGTGATTTGCGAGTCAGCTCATACGTCACCGGGAGTCTTACTCATGGCTCGCCTTGACCCTGCAAACCCCCCTGCACCGCCCGTCGAAAGAGGAATCTCGAGCTGCTGCCGTTGCAGGCACAACCACTCGCCGAGAAGAGTCATGAGGAGGCAGGAGAGGAGGGAGGTGAGTCATGAGGAGGCAGGGAAAGCGAGTAAGAAGAAGGGACTTACTCATGGCTCGACTCGACCCTGCAGGTCCTCCTCCTGCTCCCCCAGTGCTCAAAGGAATCTCCCTCTGCTCCCGTTGCAGGCACAGCCACTCCCCCAGGAGAGTCATGAGGAGGCAGGAGAGGAAGGAGGTGAGCCAGAAGGAGAGGGAGGCGGGCGGGCTTGCGTAGAGCAGGCACAGCAGCGCGTGCAGCAGATGCACCGTGGCCGCAAAGTCGAGACACTTCTTGGTGCGCTCCACCACCACCACCAGGTAGAAGGCTCTGGGGGAAGGAGGAGGTGAGGGAGGCGAGGGAGGGGAGCGAGGGGGGAGGGGGGGGGGGGGGGGGAGGAGGAGAGAGGGTAGTGGGAGGGGGAAGTCGAAGGGTTTACAAGGCGCACCATATGAATATTCACGCATAGAGCCAACTCAATGCCACAAGGCTTTTGCTCCCCACCCCTCACCCACCCACCCTTCCCGCCCTCGACCCTCACCCCTTTCAATCCCCCCCTGCACCTCACCCCCACTCCACCCACTCCTCCCGCAACGCACGCACCCTACAAACGCGTTCGCCAGAAACGCGAATATGCAGCACCAGCCGACGAAGCTGGAGACGGAGATCACGGAATAGTCGAAGAAGTACTTAAGCGTGAATCGCGGCACGTGCGACCCGACGAAGAGCCACAGAAGCGCGCCGAGCGAGAGGTAGAACAAGGACTGCAGGCACGCGATCTGCGCCACGATGAGCCACGGGTCCCACACCATCGCGCCGTAAAACATGGCGACGACTCGGCGCGCAACGGCCTCGTGGAGGAGCTGCAGCGGCCGGAACCCGCGCCGCTTCGCCTTGCTGTCCGTGGTGGCTGTGTTGAGGCGCCTCAAGAAATGAGGCTAAATTTGGTTCGAGGGGGTAACCACCTCTTTTTCGAGGGTGTAGCGAACTTCGCCTTGCTGTCCGTGGTGGCTCTGGTGGTTGCCGTTCACGGCGGGGCGAAACGCTTGAATTCGGAAGGTATTAAAAGAAGCAGAACGGATTCTGTTACTTAATACAACCGATCTACAATACGGGCGGTACGGGCGGGAATTTCCGCTGGCGATACGGCATCGTGCACGTCGAGCCTAGAAATGTAACGCTTAGATTCAAAAGGTACCAGAAGAGGCGAGACAGATACACGCCTAGTGTTCTGGACCAGAGATTGGGCCACGTCGTCTACGTTATCGCCGAATAACACGGTCGAGCATAACGAGAAGTCGCCTTAATTCGAATTAGGAAGTCGGGAGAAAAGGATGGCAAGGATTGCGGCAAGTATGCAACCAGGTAGGCCGAAAGCGATGTAACTTAAAGCGAGGGTCTCGAGAAGCGAAAACCAAACCCGAAGGTTTTGGTTTCGGGGGATCTCGAAAATTCCGAGGTGTGGTGAGGGTGCTAGTTGGGCGTTGTTACTGTTTCGCTAATTTCGTCAACCCAAAACCAAACCTTTTGGATTTGGTTTTTTGCTTCTCGAGACCCGCGCTTTAAGGGAATAAATCTGCGTCCTAGGGAGTGAGGAACAACGTGCCAGATTTTGTTACGGCCGAAGGTGTGCCTAGGATTAGATGAGAGCTGGTGTGGTACGACGCAGTGTCCTTTAGTACGGTATATTGCTATCTGACTAATAAACTACAAGACGCACACCTTACAAGCAAAATCTTCCAACAAATTCTTCTTAGAAATGTTTCCACTATCACACCAACTGTTGGCCAAACAAAATGCATATATTTTCAATAAAGAGGGTTCTACATAAAACATGCTGGTTGGAACATAACAGATGCAACCCCTCTTCCTACTTACTCCATTTTCAAGGTTGCTGCATTTGTCATGTTCCTACCAATCGTCCCCTTTGCAGTCTCATCAATACTTCCCACCAATCATCCTTCCTGAAAGCACACCATCACTCCCAGAGAACCCCAGGTACAGGTTGTCATTCGTGGTCTCCTGGAGCGATGCCAGCACATCTGCCACGTCAGCAGCCGACACGCTCACAACATTGGCCAGGGACCAGGATGCAGCACTCATGAGCTGCCATGTGCCAGGAAGGCTCAGCGCCACGGTGGCGTCGGTGCTGCTGCAGGGGCTGCCCTTGTAGATGGCCTGGGTCTGAGGAGCCTCGCTGATGCCCGCTGCGTAGAGGTAGTAGGAGACAATGTAGCTGGAGCCACTGCAGTGGGGGAAGGGAGGGCCAGGGAGATGCGAAGGAAAGTAGTTAGTGAGCTGCGGGGGGAGAAGACAGGGGCCAGTGTAACACGAGAGCAGAGACCGTGTTGTAACAAGAGACGAATAGCAGACAGGACATGTGAGAAGTTGAATGCTCGAGTCAGATTTAAAACTTATAAATGTGTTGGGAAAGGGGGGGGGGAGAGGAGGGGCGGGGGGGGGGTGGGGGAGGGGGGAGGGGGAAGAGGGGGGTTGGGGGGGAAGGGAATGGGCTGGGGTTTCTTACGTCTTGAGGATCTGGACGTTGGCGGCGCCAGCCTGAAGGGTCTGCAGTCCGTTGCACGAAGTGAGCGCCCCCCGCAGCATGCCCGCCTGCTGGGGCAGCAGGCTCGCAGCACCCGACGCCAGGCTGCCGTTCAAAACGGCGTTGAGAGCATCGCTGACAGTGCTGCTAGCAGCGCCGCTAAGAGTCGCGTTAAGAGCGCCGTTGATCACGCTGTAGAGAGCGCGTGTGACGGCCGACACGTTCGAGTTGATCCCCGCGATCCGCTGCGTCACTGCGCCCATTCTCCTCGACAGCCGCTGCCTCACCAGCGCGCGGATCGCTGCAGCAGAGGAGACGCTGGCGGAAATAACCCCAGAAGGCCTGGCAGCAACCCCAGCGCCGACTATGCCCGCCAGGTCCTTGTTGAGCGCGTCGACGCTCGCCCTGACGGCGGAAATGTTGGATTTGATCGCCGCGATCTGAGCGTTGAGGTGAGCGTTCAGGGCAGAAGTGATGTTTGCAGCTGAGATATTCGCTGCTGAGAGGAGATTTGACTTCAGTGTGGCGTTGAGATCGGCGAGGGTGCTGTTGAGCGTAGCGAGGTTGGCTTTTAGCGTGGATATCTGCGCCTGGAGGGCGGCATCAGCGGCTGACGCGTTGCCGTTGAGGCTCGCCGCGACCTGCTCGAGGCGCCCCTTGAGAGCCGCGTCGAGGGACGCGACTTGGCCTTGCAACGACGACTCGAGATCCGCGAGGCTGGAGTTTAGGGAAGATGTGAGGTTGGATGTTAGGGCTGCGGCTGCGTTGGATGGCTTGAGGGCAGGACGAACGCCGCTGGGTAGGAACCTTGCCTTGGCTCCTAGTGCGAAAAGTGCTGCAATTTAAGAGGAATTCGGAAAATGGAAATGGGTATCAGGATTTACTAACCGAGGAGTTTCATAAGCAAGAACGCAAGCTGTTCAAGTTGAACAGATTCAAGCATTTGGTGTCCTTGGCACAGGACTCGGACTAAACTACTAGCAAAGGACACCCAAACCGGACAGATTGGCCAAGTGCTCACCTGTGGCGAAGAGTGCGAAGATCGCAAGAGAGGCTGCTGAATTCCGCGCCATTGAGGAACTAGGAGTACGACCAGAGTAAGGAGCCGGAAAGCACCTCTGATATTAGTCGCTGGAATTTCGTACTAAATGGCGAGTAAACCTCGACAGGAGAGCTACTTAGTTGCTGAAATCTTATTTCAGTGTGGAATCGTTCGAAAGACTGCGTGTGGAGGCGCTGAGACTAGTGGCCGAGGAGCTGAATTTGGGAGCTGAAGAGATGTTCGAGGTTGATGGAAGGAGAATTCCCGAGGCTGGATTTATAGCTCCTTCGCATGCTGGGAAAATGTGGCACGGGCCGCGGATTTCCATCGCGTGACTGGCTGCTACGCTTCGTCCGAGTCGCACGCGGAGACAGGCAGTGAAGGAAGGTGATGGACATATGTTGACAAGGCGTTACGCCGAGGCGCAAACGGCGTCAAGCGGAGAACGTGGTGTTGGAAAAAGACAGAACAGAAGCTATAGGTGACTCGACTGAAGCTTTCTCGTTTTCGTCAGGAAACAAGCCAACCCCTTCCATTATGCACTCAGCTGCTGCCAGCAAAGAAGCCGATTTTCAATATGAAATAGTGATAACGTCAAGCGTCTTTAGTAATTCATATCGAAAGCACCCCCAGGTTCCTTGGCTTGCCAAAGAATCACATCTAAACCAAGTACCACTCCTAACCCAAGCATGACTCACAGCCCAAGCATCACTCTATGCCTAAGCATTACTCTGTAGCCCATGCTTCACCCTCATCCTACCTCTAGTGGCGCTCCAAACTGCGTCTCTTCCATAAGGCTCTTCCTGAAAACCCTCGCGCTGTTCTCTCATTACTGCAGAGCAGACTCGACACACAACTGTCGCAACTCGACTTTAGAGCCAACTCAAAGGACCATACGCTTGTATTGTGAATGTAGCATCGCCCTTCCCTGTCGTGGTTAGCTCACCTCCGGCGGCGCTCCAAAGAGTACGCGATGCGCCCCACCATGAGCCACGGGTCCCATATCATGGCTCTGTGAAACTTGGGGACGACGCGGTGAACGAGCTGGAGCGGGCGAAATCTGCTCCGCTTCGCCTTGCTGTCCGCGGTGACTGTGTTGCGATGCCTAAAAAACTGAGGCTGCTACTGTTTTGAGACGTTAGAAACCTTCTACTTGCTGTCCCTGGTGGATGCGGTGGTAACTGTCAACAAGTGTACGTATATAGATTAGCTAGGTCATATTTGTTTATAGCATAGTGTTATGAATTATAACTCAGAGTATTGCGCATAATACTATGGGGGAAAGTTATTACAGAATTGTATAGAATGTTCATAGAAATGAGGCCTAGGCAATATATAGGTGTGTTGACCAGGTTGAATGTCGAGGGTTGGACCAGTCCAGGGCTCGATAGTCCCGAGGGTGACAGGGTTAAAATGGGTTCGTGGCGACTCGGGATCAGGTTGGGGTCGAAAAGGTCGACGGGGGCTGGTTTGGCACGTGATTTGAGGGCCGAGCCTGCGGACGCGAACTGTTCGCGTGTACTCGCTGTGGCAAGCCCCAGTGAGGAATCGTAATTTTTTACACTCTCCTACCTTCTAAAGGAAGGCACTCCCTGTATCGAGACCGAACCTTTTAACTAAGTTAATCCCCGATATGACTGTAAGTCTTCAGCCCTGTGACGAGCGTAATGATTACGTTGGTATGACGAGATCTTGCGGTCGATGTGCGATCGATGGTCAGAAAGTGTCGAAACGATCGCTTTAATTTCAGCTGTCGAAGATGGTCGAATTCTTCTACTTACCAAACGGGCAAGGGCAAATACTCTAGCGGAAGACAATGAACAGTGAAACTGTCGAGTGGTCGATTGATGATGGCGCGTGGCAGATGAATATCTTGAAATGATAACTAGCGAATAACCAGCGTGTACATCTCCCAAACTGCTTCAGAGTGGAAAACTACTCTAGGGAAAACCGTTACAAGGGTCTTGAAACTCATGAGTAACTGCTCCGGAAGACTCCCAGACAAACTTAACATTCTGCATGAGTAGGAGCACTGCTTGCGAGCTGGTCCCAACACAGCTCCAACAGTACTGCTGTAAAATCTTTTCGTCTCGATACTTCTGCTGTCGATTCAGATTGTGAGGCAAGGTCTTGTTTACACAATCAGGCGAATTGAGAATGAAGGTGGTAGCGGGTAGTGGCGAGAGGAAGGCGACGTTGGCGATGGCCTGTAACCTGTACTGAACCACTCCAATGAATATCCTCGAAATGAACCAGGGGTCAAATGACGCCAGCTGCATCAACTTCTTTGTCCGTACATGTCGAAAATTTCGGGACGAGCCGAAACTGCTGCTGCGCTTCTCCTCCTCCATGCACCCAAAATATTCTGAGAATATCGGTCGATGTCGCGCGTACTCTTGAAGATATCGGGCATAACTCCTGCTGTAAACTCTAGAACTGCTCGTCAAACCCACCGAAAATGTCATAACCACTCGGTACTTAGCAAATACCATAACTCCGCTTGACAGCTTCCCGTAAAAATGCCCAGGCGTCACGGCGTCCTTTAGCAGCACCCCAACGGTTTCTCCACCAGCTGTACGCATAAACTGAACCCTTTATATTACGGTTTACTAGAGTCCACCGCCTCGGCATGATGTTTTGGCCGTCGATCAGGGTCAATGCGCATCCTACGCCGTCGATCTTCTCCTAGCTGTTACCCAACTTTAAAATACTCTGGTACCCCTGCCAGCCAGCCGTGGAGTCGTTGACCCATCTCGTGGCTGCTGCATGTTACCCAAGACCGCTTTGCTGCTGCTTAACTAACTATGAGAATCCGCAGAGATAGGAGTGCGCACGCTTCTAGTCAGAGGAGCTTTAACGAGCTCGCCTACTGACCGCTGGACAGCTCCCTCCTCCGTCTGAAACTCGTCAAACTACACTCGCAAAAGTCGGAACCTCCTTCTGCTGCACCAGGTGAAACCTTCAGCGGCAACAGTAACTCCTAAAATTTTGGGGACACTCCATCAGCATAGTGTACTTCGCAGGTTCACCCCCCTTATTCACCCAGAAGCCGTCGATTAATAAGTCAACACTGCTACTTGGTGGGAATGGTGATTTTCGGGCGACGTAGCTGAGGGATTTGCAGCCCGTATGCCGCTAACCCATCTGCTCCAGTACTCTCGTCGTTCTTCTCCCACTGCTCCAACTCCTGGCAGTTAACGCTTTCAGCGACCGGTGGAAAAACACTTAATACACTCCCAGGGGTGATGGCCGCCTTTTTCGTTGATCGTGGGGGTATGAAGCGCTAGTCCACGAAAAACGCCTCCCCACGCGGGAAGTCGCCCTCGCTGAGTACACTCACTCCAGCACAGCGTCATCACCTCCAGATGGCCGTCGTGGTGAATAGCGCCGAGGTCGTTAATCCCAGCTACTCCCACACAGCTGCACACTCGCACGTTTCTCGTGTGATTGTGTCGTTCCGAAATGTCGGATCCGCCCATTGCCAAAATAGTGTTGAAGTCCCGTCCATCGCCTGCAACTAGCCTGCCGGAAAACGCCGGGACCCGCGACACAGCTACAGTTCACCCTGCAGCTTCATTGCGCACCAGACATACATCGCCGTACATCCCGCCATTTTCGCCACCCCGCGCGCTCCTGACGACCTACTCCCGGCCGCCTGAGGACTCCCGTGCACTTGTCTTCTCCTGACGAAGCCTTCGCTTTTTTTCGGAAGCCAATCCGAAGACTCCATCCGAACACCCGAAATTACGAAAGCTCTAACGAACATACCCGAGAAACACAGAAAAAACGTCGCCCACTCTTCGACAAGAAATAATTCTGTATACGCCCAGGGAAGGGGAGGACCGGCCAATCCCAGCTGTCCAGTGGACAGGATCTGACGGCATCGGCAACGCCCGCGCAATTAATCTCCGCGATGTCTGCTCGCCATCAGCATCCTTCCGCCCCCTTCCCCGATAGGGTCTGCTTCCCTATGGGAAGCATAATGTGCAGGAAAGTAGCTCTGATATCAGCTGATATGAATTATAACTCAGAGTAAAGCGCAGAATTCTATAGGGGAAAGTGATTACAGAATTGTACAAAATGTTGATAGAAATGAGGCCTAGGCAATATATAGGTGTGTTGACCAGGTTGAATGTCGAGGGTTGGACCAGTCAAGGGCTTGATAGTCCCGAGGGTGACGGGGTCAAAATGGGTTCGGAGCGACTCGATATCAGGTTGGGGCCAAAAAGGTTGACGGGGGCTGGTTTGGCACGTGACTTGAGGGCCGAGCCTGCGGACGCGAACTATTCGCGTGTACTCGCTATGGCGAGCCCCAGTCAGGAATCGTAATTCCTTACATCTAGCTAGTTTAGTTCTTAGTGAGTACAGCCCTCAGGTGTCGATGGTTAGTTTTTTTCCGCCGTTCCTCTCGCTTCCGCCGTTACGCACGTTCTTCTTCTTCTTCTTCTTTTCTTCTTCTTCTTCTTCTTCTTCTTCTTCTTCTTCTTCTTCTTCTTCTTCTTCTTCTTCTTCTTCTTCTTCTTCTTCTTCTTCTTCTTCTTCTTCTTCTTCTTCTTCTTCTTCTTCTTTCTTCTTCTTCTTCTTCTTCTTCTCTTCTTCTTCTTCTTCTTCTTCTTCTTCTTCTTCTTCTTTCTTCTTCTTCTTCTTCTTCTTCTTTTCTTCTTTCTTCTTCTTCTTCTTCTTCTTCTTCTTCTTCTTCTTCTTCTTCTTCTTCTTCTTCTTCTTCTTCTTCTTTCTTCTTCTTCTTCTTCTTCTTCTTCTTCTTCTTCTTTTTTTTTCGCGCAAGTGACACTCTTTCCATTTCGCGCACCTCCCTTGCCCTCCAATTTCGCGCTTCATATCCTCGAGCACCTCTCTCTCCCCCCCCCTTCTGTAGTGTTTGATTTGTTCGTGCGATAGTCAGCAGGCCAGCACGCCAGCCTACATGCTATCGAGCTCGCCAGCCAACGCTCCAGCTAGCTAGCCAACCCGTAAGCCAGCACGCTAGCCAGCTCGTTAGCAAGCTCACTAGCCAGCCCGCGCCTGCCAACGCCTTAGTTCGTAGCCATCCCACCTTGCGTCAGCCCGCCTACTTGCCTGCTCGCCAGCCCGCTAGCCTGCACGCTAGCCTGCTTGCCGGCTCGCCCGCCCGCCGACTCGCTTGCTCGCCTGCCCACCAGCCCGCCTGATCTCTAGCCCGCCTTCTCGCCTACTCGCCAACCCGCCAACTCGGCTGCTCGCTAGCTCGCACGCTCGC